GTGTTGATGTTGAGGATGATAAGTCCCAATGAGGAAGATGATTCATATCCAAGAATACACTTAGATTTCTTTTGTGCTACGTAAAACTTAGCAATTTTGGATGTACCTGATGCTGAGGTGATGGTAGCTTGAAATTCTCCTGCTAACTCGAGTGGTGTTGGTGTTCCATATGCAAAGATTCTGGCATTGGTCTTTTGTAACTTGATACGGTTGTCGTCTTTCTGAATTTGTTGAAAAATTGGGTAGTTCCGAAGGTTAACAGAGGCTCCGGAATCAATCAGAATGTTTACTTTAGTGTGTCCAATCTGTACTTGCGTTTCTGGATGTTTACCCGAGCTTGTGTTGACAGTAAAAAGAAATTCATCGTCCGAGTCTTGAAGATAATCACAATTTTTTTCTTGGTTGACATGTCTGACATTTCCACTGTCCTTAGATTGAGATCTACAATATTTTGCAAAATGACCGATTTTCTTGCAGTTGTGGCAAGGTTTACCTCTAGCTGGGCAGGACTCTATTCCGTCTTTGTGCGGGAATTTACCTCCACAGTTACGACAGGTTTGGGACTTTCGACCGCTATCTGGAGCTTCTTTCTGGTATTTATTTCCTTGAAAACGCGAATCAGGCTTCTTGGGCGTCCTGTATCTGGAATTTGATCCACCGGAAGTTGGAAATTTTCGATGTTGTTTTGAATTCTTTTCGTTGTAATTATAATTTACTGTTTCGTTACTTTCGCTTTGGAATTTGCTGGCGTTATCGAGGCGTTTAGACTGTTCATCTGTACGTTCTAAGGTATTCCCGTAGTCGAGAATTTGTTTGAGAGTCATCGTCTCACGAAGCGCTTTCTTTCTTAACCGGGAATCGCGGGTTTTGTGAATAATTTGGGTTTTAATCTCGGCTTCCTCGCTGTGAAAATTACATTGTACTGCTTTTGTCTTCAGTCGACGGTAGTATTCGTTGAGCGTTTCGTTGGATCCTTGCTTTAGCTCTCGAAAATCGAATATAGCCATGTCTGTATTTCCTTGTGGCACGAAGTGTTGAGTGAAACAATCGATCGCTTCTTGATAAGTTGTGCCAGTGTCGGGGAGAATATCGAAAATGTCGTTGGCTGACTCGCCTACATAGGTTAACAATAAACCTCTCCTAACGGTTGAATCAAACTCACGAAGACTTATAAGCAAGTTTTCGAAACGACGAACCCATTTAGTCCATCTTTGACCCACTGTTGCTGTATCTTGGTGTGGATTAAAGGGAGGAAACGGCGGTAAACCACTGCGTGGAACTTGCGATGTTGTTGTCGCGTTTGTAGCGTTTGACGTTGTTGATGATGATGCGTTTTCAGCATTGATATCTTGACCTTCGGTATCCATAATATAGTTTTAGGGTTTTTAGGACCTCGTCGCCACTTTTATATCCTCTGTTATTCAACTTTTATAACATATATTACTCTGCTATATTATACATATATACTTGCTCTCTGGCTTAGCGTCTCCTAATCTAATGTCTCGTGACCTAATCTTATATGTCAATCACTTCAGCTGTCCAATCAGCATTTGGATACAACATCTCCATAGAGGTCCATTAAGGGTAATCTCTTATTGATCTAGTATTACTACAGGAGGAAACCTAAACTAAACTACTTTATTCATGATGGACAGGTCTATCAGTTCTAAACAGTTCTCCTTAGAGGTCCAGTAAGGATAATCTCTTATTGATCCAGTATTTATACTACAGAAGGAAACCTAAACTAAACTACTTTATTCATGATGGATAGGTCTATCATTTCTAAACTGTTCTCCTTAGAGGTCCATGCAGTAAGGATAATCTCTTATTGATCCAGTATTACTATAGGAGGAAACCTGAACTAAACTACTTTACTCATGATGGATAGGTCTATCAGTTCTAAACTGTTCTCCTTAGAGGTCCATGCAGTAAGGATAATCTCTTATTGATCCAGTATTACTACAGGAGGAAACCTGAACTAAACAACTTTACTCAAGATGTATAGTTCTATCATTTCTAAACTGTTCTTTTCTAAACAACACATCACTTTAACTTGTCAGTTGTCACTTACAAAATATCCTTCACTGAAGTGTTCCAAGAGATGTTGAATGACAGGAGCTTCTCCAGGGAGTCGGAATGTTTCCAAGAATGTTCTCAAAGCTTCGTCTATTCGCATGTCGTTGAAATGGAAAGAGCTGGGAAATGATATTAAAGATATCTTAGGCTTGCCGAATTTTTTCATGTGCCGAATTCAAATATTCAATTTGCATTAGACTCGAGAAAATTGCAGTATATTTTGTTGGACGCTAGTTTCCAACGTCAAATCTTGCATGCATAGAATATAATTTGTATTACATTACAACACCATACCATACCTTATCGTACAATATTACTGTCATTGCATACCATACCATACCATAACACACCATACCATACCATACCACACCACACGAAACCACACCAAACCACACCACACCATACCATACCATACCACACCATACCACACACCATACCACACCACACACCATACCACACACCATACCACACCATACTATACTATACCATACCATACCACACACCATACCACACC